TTCTGATACTTATCAAACATAGCAGTTTTAACTGTGTCAGCAACCTCTTCTCTGCTAGAACGATGTCCAGTAATAATGTTTGTTAATTTTAAAAAGGACTGGTAGCAACGTATTTACCAGAGCAGCATGCATTTGCATAGTGTTTTGTTTTTTAAAGATTTAATACCTGACCTTTTTCACAGTTTTTGCCCTTATACTCCTCAGGGCAAAGGCAAACATAAGCCTGAAATTGGTCAACACATGTCCCACCATTCTGACAGGGGTTAGAGTCACACTGATTGGCATCTGGAAAAAACACACTATCAGTAAGGCTCACAGGAAGGATTGCAATGGTGCAATTTCAGTAATTATTAGAACACACGAAATTCTCATACCAACATAATTCTGCCAGAATTCCATCTGGAAGAAAGAGGAAAAAAGGGCATAAGGAATTAGCCAGACAATATTATGCATCATTTCATGTACAAAGGATAAGTACATTGTCTAATACCATAACAAACAAATTATAGAGGTATAGCACAATGATAGTTGAAGGGTGAATAAAGTTGTGGCTACTTAGAGAACATGCCTAAAATTTAACACAATATTAATTTTCAGCTCTCTGTATATTTTAAGACAGAGGTAATAGAAGACAAAAGTACTATATTAGACACTTTTCAGCTCTCAGGGTTTAAGGATCAAAATCCATTTATGTTTCTACTAATAAGATGGGAAGATGCAAGATAAAAATCAGGCCAACAGAAGACCCCTGAGCCAGTGCTACCCCTTACTTACTGTCCTTTTAACATCTTGGAAGATTTCTCTGGCTTCCTCGTACGAACACACTTCTTCAAAGCACTCCCGTTGTAGCGATCCTATTTTTAACTCTTCAAAGAAGCTATTCGCTCTTCTTTGTCTTTTCAGCAAGCTGTTTGCCTGCTCCTGCTTTAAGAAGACTGAAAAATTGAAATAATTGGAACTCTGCATACACATTTTCTCTCTCCAGAAATAAAGTACTGTAGAATTTCAGAGTTAGGAACTGACCAGTCAACCACACACCTTGTTTGGAACCAGAAGTACGCAATCAGGCAGCAGCAGAGAACAACAAACCCCCCCCTCCTCCAGTAAATACCGTACAGGACTGTGTTAAATGTAAGCTATTCAAAAAATAAAAGGAAAACAGCATTTTTCTTCTGCATGGTAAAGTTTCAAAGCTGTATTAAATCAATGTTCAATTGTAAACGTTTGAAAGAAGAATCATAACATTTTGTTCAGAGTTACGAACAACCTCCATTCCTGAGGTGTTTGTAACTCTGAAGTTCTAGTGTAAGCCAATGAGATTTCAGCTTCCTTTACTTTTTTAAATCTGGGCTGTTTGCAACAATGTTTAGAGCAGGCCAGGCCAGGCCAGGCCAAGCACATTCCATTGTGCAACATTACACAATCTTGTAGAGACATTATTTACCTACCCTGCTGCACATGAGGTAAAGTGACAGATCCTAGATTTTTATATAGGCCAAAGCTTTCGAGACAATGGTAGTGATTCTAGAATTATAGCAGTTCTTCATCCAAATAATCCATGAAGACTTACCATGCACCACAGGGTAGGTTTAAACAAAAGTAGGACAGGATTTCCTTTAGTTCTGGCAGCCAAACAGCAACACTGCTGAGAATTAGACAAGTGGCATGTAGCCTCTCATATTTACCCAATTTATCTGCCTACCCTCGTGTTTTACTATATTTTCCATATAAACTCACTTGGTAAGATAAAGATCTTTGGATGGATCACAACTTTTCCAGACTCCCAATCCCCTCCACCACTACCCCCACTCCATTCATCTACTCTTACCTTCTTTGGCCTAGCTGGATGGAGTCCATGGGCCACTAATGGTCCATAAAGCATAGTTTGAGAACAACTGCTCTAAGTTATTCCCACTTACTTTTCTTCTGAAAAGACTCTGGGCCACGGCAATACCTTTGCCAGCAAAGGAGAGCAGGGTGAGTTTCCGTTCTGAGCTATTCATAGCCATGCCTTTGCATCAGCTAGAGGAGCTTGTATGTGGCTTCTAAACTCAGCAAACCAGTACCACGTGGCACTCTTCCTGGCAGTCTCAGCCAGGGTTAATGGGCAAGGAGAGCAGAAGTCGGACTGGAGTGGTCCGCAAGACTGCACATCTCTTGTCTACACCAGTCTGTGAGGTGTACAATATTCTACCACATATTAATTAAACATTACTTCTGAAGCCTAATGATGACAATTTAAATGACAATATTGCTCACTATTCCACTTCTGAGCATTTTGGCAAAAACATGCAACTACTCTGGGATGGTGGGCAAAGTTGGGGATAGAGGATGGAGCTTGAGCAGAGTACTTCCAATCCATTCCCTCGCCAAGATAATTCCTAATGGAGAACGAACTGTCTTGCACTTGGAGATATCTCTGCAGGGCAGTGCCGAGCCACAATGATGGGATGGGGTGGGGAAGTTTGCACTGGTCATGATACTTATAATAGAGGACTTCAGTCTCCTGGTCTACCAGCCTCCACATCAGCATTAACATCATAGAAATATATATTCATTTAAAAAAATCATTTTTCAAAAAAATAAATAAAATAGGGATTACTATAGATCCCCTACCATGATAATTACCTTCTATATAGTATTTGCTGCATTACACACAGCACAATGTCTTTTGCTTATATTCATGTCAGGTTTTATCCTTTCAGTATGTTGAGTATTGTTATTTTTTAATTCTTTGCATTTCTTACTGCATTTGTCCTTGTTAATTTATTAAAGTAAAGGAATACCTATCTCTCTAAGGGTGCACACACAGCTCTCTCTCTATATACTATGGAGATGTATTGGAATCATCGAGAATTTTATTTTTTTATTTTTTCTAAAATGTTTGAACACCATTGCTGAAGAGTGTCAGTCTGTGGATAGTCTGAGCTCTATGATCACTAGTGCCCTTTGGTTCCCTGGGAGCTGATTTTGAGGCACATATTAAAGACTGAATTTTCAGTTGCCTTGGTTCACCCTCATATTACACTACATTGTTTGTAATATCCCCTTTGTAAATTCTTGTGTATTGAATGAGAACGACTGATCATTGATTCTTTGCTTTTAAAATACCACATATAGGCTTGAATTCCTGCTGGTTTCATCTAGTAGGCAGGTAGTTGATGATCTGTAGCTTTCTGTATGATGAGATAACTTACACATATGAGCCTAGAAACAACTTTTCCCAATTGACACAATAAGTGCATGAACACAATCGCCAGTCAAAACAATGAGCACATTACAACACTGTGCAGACTTGAATACATTCATTAGTAATCTTTATGTACAGCCATTGCTGTGGACGATCCAGCACTCTTCACAAGAAAATCATTTGACTAACAATATAATAATAATTACAGCAGTTTCTGGGACATACCTGCAGCTGGCAAAAGAGGAAGCAGCAGCAAAAAGCAGAGAAGCAAAACCAAGTAGTGGCTGGAAACCATGATGGCACTGAAAAGCCAGTGTCCCAATATCATGTTGACATTTCAGCAAGAACTGCATGGTGAAAGATCTCTGTTTCAAAGGCTTTGACCTGGAGGAGGGGTTGAGGAGTCATTAAACAGAGCGAGCTGAAACTCATGCAAATAATTCTATTCATGAAGAAACATACAACCAAATCCCTCAATATGTTCTCTTAAAAATAGGGAAAGACCTTTGTTGAGAGGAATTCCCATTCATAGTGTGAAAAGGCCATGCTGATTATTGTGAATGTTGCAGTGTGTTATTAACAATCCAGAAGGTAATTAAATGTGAAACGTAAGTGCCAAATTGCAGGCCTCAGCCTGAATAGCACAACATTACATTTTGTACATAGCAATCCGAGAAGTTTGCACACGAATCAGAAAGCCAAGATTAGGCTGATTGTGGTCAAGGTAAAGATTTGCAGTATCTTTGAATGTGGTCACATTGTTGATGCTTTAAAATGTACCATGTTCTTTTTCTTTTTGGTCCCCAGTGGAAACCCTGAACCGCTGACTGACTTTATAGTGTGACAAGTAATTAACTAACAAGAAATACCAGGTTCCACTTTGCTCTCTTTTTGTTGCAGTGAAGGAGCTGTGTACCTTATCACCATGTACTACTACACAAAGGACTTAAGTTATATTGGAAAGAAAAGAAGAGGAGTGGAGCAAAATTCCATTTCATTAATAATTGTAGTGGTTTGACTGAATCGACAGATAAAGTTGTATCAGGAAAATAAGCATTCCTACGAATTCATGTATATCAAGGGCTAATGGTATCAGAACACACAGTTTACAAAATTCTTAAGTCAAGATTTGACTAAGATATCAGCAAGGTTAGGAGCATGTTTGTCAGTGGGGATTGGAGCATTCCATAGGGCCTGATGTATTTTTCAGGCTATTCTTCACTTTATTTAGGATAAAGGAAAGCAGCTCTTCCGTGCACGTCACAACAATGAAAGGAAGAGCAGTTTTTATACTATTGCCAGCTCTCATCATTATGTCCTTGCAGAAGTTATGAATGATTAGTGAAGAAGAAATCTCTCTCATCTGAGAAGTCTAAGATCCCAGCCCAACTATTTGCATATTATTTACACAGTTCCTGTAACTTAGCCTTTATGGACATCTGGTTTACAATATAGAAAAAACTGCCCTTTTAGGGCATCTTTTGTTTATTGGAATCTGGCTAATTCTCAGAAAGCTCATTTCCTGGGATTTTCGGGGGCTAATCATGGGTGGTGTTCCAGGGAAGAGGGAGGGAGTTTGACTGCTGGAAAACATGAGAAGTTATAACATAGGAGCCCCAAAATACTCCACCTCTCCACTACTGGAAGTCCCCTTCATGCCCCAGCCTCCCCTCCCCTAATATAATCCCTCCCTCGTCCTTCCTACGTTCCCAACCTCTCCTTTGGCCTGGAACTAGCTAGGGAGATCATGGGGGAGAAAATCATGGTAGGCATTCAGAGGAAAAACCACCTGGAGACGTGCTGATCAGCAGGGAATTGGGGCTGCTGGCGGAAGCAAGGCAGGTGAGGAGTAGGAGATGAGGTGAGCCTGTGGAGCGGTCTGCTACTTAGTGGGGAGGTTGCTGTGGGCTCTTGGGGTGGGTAGACAAGGTGGGAGAGACCTGGTATTCAGGGAAAGAGATGAGGGGACAGAGGAGGGAGACCAAACTGGGAAGGAAATCTGTCTCCACTGAGGGTGGGTCAGGGGAGTAGAGACTGAAGCTGTGTTTACTTGTTTGCAGCTCTCAGTGTAGAGTAGCAAAACCATATTCTTAGCCTCAGTTTTCCAAGAGTTAAGATAAGAATAAGTTTGTCAGAGCCACTTTGCAATTTTTTTCATCTTATCTTCTTACAGCAGAAAAGTCATTTGTCCTGTCTGAGCGAGTCTCCTCCTGTCATGCAAGTGACAGCATAGGGTCATGTATCTGACATTTCTATATCTAGCACCACATGTAATGCCTTTTTTTTTTTTGACTGCTTTGACTTACCCTGTAAAAATGATTGCACTTACATAAAAAAGCCCTAGGGTAGGAATTAATTACTATGTATTAGCTGGAGCACTTGCTTGGTGCCACATTTTGTCTTGTTGCTAAACTTCCATAATGGGCCAGTTGGAAGAAAAGATAGATGTTTGGGTATATAGATCCCTCTTAACACTTTTACTTTAATAATAAAAAAAAAAAGCTGGTTTCACAAACCAGCATTTCTATATACTTCTGTGTACTAAGACTATATGGATTCCCATCTACTTTATTTGACTTACTTCTAAATTAGATTTTGTTAAAAAAAATCTATAACGTATCATACAATGGTATGTCAAGGCTTTTGTACATTCTGTGCGATTGATGTGACATTTACAGTATTTGCTCTCATTTTCAGCAACAGAGTGGGGGCTATCCAGTTTATTTCACCCAATGCAGCATGTATGATTACCTGCAGCATGTATGATAGGCAGGTGGCATATGTGTGCACTCTGGGCAAGTTGCTCCTGGCCCTCAGTGACCATGTACGGGCTTTGGAGACCAGTGTGGCTGAACTAGAGGAGCTAAGGGAGACAGAGAGGTACATAGATGAGACTTTCCTGGACACTGTAGAATGGTCCCACCCCCAGTCTGACATCCTCTGTGCTGTTGAGGAGGATGAAAGTCTCAGGAAAGGAGAACATCCAACTGGGTGGATAGTTCTCTGAAAACATCCACTCAATGTGCAGCAGCAGTAAAAAAGCCAACAGAATGTTGGGAATCATTAAGAAAGGGATAGATAAGACAGAAAATATCCACATCTTGAATACTGTGTGCAGATGTGGTCGCCCCATCTCAAAAAAGATATATTGGAATTGGAAAAGGTTCAGAAAAGGGCAACGAAAATTATTAGGGGGTACAGAACGGCTTCCATATGAGGAGCGATTAATAAGACTGGGACTTTTCAGCTTGGAAAAGAGACAAATAAGGGGGATATGATAGAGGTCTATAAAATGACGACTGTTGTGGAGAAAATAAATAAGGAAGTGTTATTTACTCCGCCTCATAACACAAGAACTAGGGGTCACCAAATGAAATTAATATGCAGCAGGTTTAAAACAAACAAAAGGAAGTCAACCTGTGATTTGCAAGCATCAGCTGGAAAAGTCCTGCTTAAAATCAATACTTTAAAAATATTCAGCGTTTTACACACCACAGACCCCGTACATCCGTGAACACACACAAACACCCCCCCTCCCCCACAAATTAAAAATTCAGACACAAGACCACTTCTGAGGAAGCTGGCATAGACTCAGACTTCAAGGCCAGAAGGGACCATCATGATCATCTAGTCTGACTTCCTGCACATTGCAGGCCACAGAGCCACACCCACCCACTCCTGTTATAGACCTCTGGCTGAGCTACTGAACTTCTCAACTCATGGTTTAAAGACTTCAGGTTACAGAGAATCCACCATTTATGTGACAGTCCCCAGCCTTGAATGTTGTTTTCCCATATTTACTAGTCTTTCTACTAGCATAGTGTATTTGTTGTCTTTCTTGTGCTTTAGAAATATTACTAAGAGCCAATGCAACATCAGCATCCTTTCTCACTTTCAAATTAGTGCTAATCTCCTTGTAGTATTGTTTATCGATGGTTGTATCTGACTGTAAAGGTCTTGAGATGACATTATATCATCAGTTTATAGAAATCTATCTATAAAAGCTGACTGCTAGGGTTCTTTTTAAGCAACCAGTCACTGAACATTCATTCATCAACAAAATTAAAACTAAGTTCACACTTTTATGATCACTTTAATCATTTCTAGTTTCTTCTCTGCTAATCTAAAAACAGAGAAATGAGCTTTCTGGACCTAAGTATAGCTCAAGCAGCCTGTCTTCTGGAATCTTCAGCCTGAAAGAGAAAAAGTTACTTTAAAGCCTACCAAGATGAAACCTACTTAAAATATATTTAAAAAAAAACTAGTCTGTATTCCCATTAAAGTTATTGTTTTTACACAAAGAAATGTTTTGTGCAATTTTTTTTGACCAGCTCTAATACGGAGTTATTGTTTTTTTAAACCTGAGTGCAGATGTTTTGTGTTGCTTTTTAAGGTACACAGTTCATATAGGAAACAAGCAGCATGGGAAAAACAGCAAAAACAGATTAAAAAAAAGTAAAGGAGTATTCTTTTAAACTCTAGTGGGGTCCCCGCTGTCCAGTCACATTCTGCATAAAAAGGAAAGATAAGGTGACCATGAAGGACACACATGGAAGCGGACAAGTAGTCAATTGGTTCAAATCTATAATCAATGTCAAACTAGCTTCTGCCTCTACTAGTTAAACCCTTCAAATTATCAATGTAAATGGATATTCCTAATGCTCCAGCAACACCTGGAGGCTGGTGGAATTGACTGCAGGGGATGGTGTTACAGAGAAAGGCAATGAAGAGGATGCAGCAGCGGTGAGGTTCCTCACTAGTCAGTGACATCACGAAGAGCTGAACTCACTAAGAACTGGTGGAAGTGACACGGGCAGGCAGTGGCAGGAGGTAGCAGCAGCAAGCAGCTGTGGAGACATCGCTTGACTACCACCCCAAGGCAGATGATCCCACTTGAACACTCCACTGGATTCTGGGACTTCACTGACCTCAGACAACCAACTCTGAGTAGGGTGCAGCAGAGGACAAAGGAGTGTGGTATGTTAAAGGGACATTAGTCCATCAGAGACTTTCACAGAGCAAGGTGGGAAACTGAGGCATAGGACTGCTGCCCCAAGATACTGAGGGGTAGGTGTTTTCTTACTTTTGAATCACTGTTGCAGTGTTTTTCCAAATTAATGCTGTGTTCCTTCTCCTTTTAATAAACGTTTTCTTTGGTTATTCACAGACAGTGCTTGCATCGGGGTTGGGGAGGGGAGTACTGCCTCGCAGAGGCAGGGTGATCTGGAGAAAGGGGTAAAAAGTGAGGGGGCAAGTTTGCAGATGATACTAAACTGCTCAAGATAATTAAGGCCAAAGCAGACTGTGAAGAACTTCAAAAAGATCTCACAAAACTAAGTGAGCGGGCAACAA